AGGGAGCTCCATGGGGGAGCAGAGATCCACCTGCAGCCCCTGGAGACCCCACACCAGAGCAAGGGGATGCCCAAAGGAGGCTGTGACCTGTGGGAAGCCCAGGCTGGAGCAGCTCCTGGCAGGACCTGTGTCCCCATGGAGAGAGGAACCCACGCTGGAGCAGGTTTGCTGGCAGGACTTGGGACCCCACGGGGGACAGATCCCACTGGAGCAGCCTGCTCCTGAAGGACTGACCCTATTGAAAGGGATCCCACACTGGAGTAGCCTGTTCCTGAAGGACTGACCCCGTGGAAAGAGATCCCACACTGGAGCAGCCTGTTCCTGAAGGACTGACCCCGTGGAAAGAGATCCCACACTGGAGCAGCCTGTTCCTGAAGGACTGACCCCATGGAAGGGACCCACACTGGAGCAGCCTGTTCCTGAAGGACTGACCCCATGGAAGGGACCCACACTGGAGCAGTTCAGGAAGAACTGCAACCCATGGAAAGGGCTCACACTGGAGAAGTTCCTGGAGGACTGGCTCCTGTGGGAAGGATCCTACACTGGAGTAGGGAAGAGTGTGAGGAGCCCTCCCCAGAGGAGGAAGGAGCAGCAAAGGCAACATATGATGAACTGACCACAGCCCCCATTCCCTGCACCACTGGTTGGGGGGAAGACAGAGAAATCAGAATTGATGTTGAGCCCAGGAAGAAAAGGGGGGGGGAAGGTGTTTTTTCAAGATTTGGGTTTATTTCTTATAACCCTACTCTGATTTAATTGGTAATAAACTAATTTCCCCAAGTCAAGTCCGCTTTGCCCACGATGGCAATCAGTGATTGATCCCTCCCTGTCTTTAACTCTCCCCACAAGCCTTTTGTTACATTTCCTCCAGCCTGGGTCAACCCACCACAAAGGAATGAAACTCAGATTTTTCTGTGGCCTGGACACATTCTTTAACCTGCACTCTGATCCCAGCTGGTGTGTGCAGCATTCCTGCTGCTCTGGCTGTGGGTGCTTTCCTTTGCTCTCTGCAGAATTTTTGGGTGTGTAATGACACAGTGCAAGTCCTGGTCCTGGAGCCAGAGCCTTGACTCCCACCCCCAGATGGCTTTGAAAATGTTGTTCTTAATCTCCTCATTCCTCCCTTCACATCCTGTTTACAGCTGGGATAGTTTAGACTTACCCATAATGTACCACATTGCTGGCATCTTTGGTGGCATTTCCAGTTATAGACAAATGTGAGGTATTACTATTCACAGTCACAAATATTTTGATGCTATAGTTTGATTGTGACCTGGAGAAATAAATCCCCTGGACTACAGTTGTGTTATAAGTGATATAAATGGTGCTTTTAACCACCAGCATGTCATAGGCACTGACTGCTGCAAGGAATAAAGCACCTGAATACATGGGAAGGATCCCACTGGACTCTTTGAAGTTCCCTAGACTCCATAAAACTTGCAAACATTCAGCCATAAAAGTCTTTCCTGAGCATGTAGGTGGGGGAAAAAGACCCTTAATATGCCAGATTTATCCCCCAGAGCTTGTCAAAGAATTGAAGTCAGAGAAGTGATCATGTTGGGATGTAATACCTGTGTTTTCAGGCTCTTCCACAGCTTTTTTGTGGAATGTTTGATGCATGATGTTACTGCTGCTGCAGTGGAATTAACAGCTGTAGGTGGTTTTATCCCATGTCCACAGGTGAAATCCTAGTGAGGCAGGAATTGCTCAGTGAGCTGGACAAAGTATTTCCTCTTTCCCAGAAAGAAGTTCTGAGAAATTTGTAATTCATGCTGCCAAAGGAACACTGGTGCTTGCTCAGTGCTTGCTTTTGCTGTCGTGCTCAGATCTGTCTCAATTACAGAGTAAACCTATTTCTCTTTTTCCTTTTCCTCATTTTTTTCCAGTCCCATGCTGTCTGCAAGTTTTAAATTGTTCTTGTTACGTGGAAAGGACGGAAACGTTTAGTTTTTAGAAAGGGGAAACGCTCCATCACCCGTTTCTGTTCAAAATAATCACATCTTCAGCCTTTCAGCTGAAAACCGAGCACAGAACAGTTCCCCATGTGTTGTGCTTTTGGCTGAGACCTGTGAGCTGCTGTCCTTCCCCCCTGGTGGACAGCAAAGAGCTGGATAGCAAATATTTGGGTGGGGAGGTGGTTTGTGTCCCTCATTTATCCTCCTGTGCCTGTGCAAGGCCGCCCTCTCCTGTCGGGAGTTTTCCATGTGCTCAGGCTGTAGATGGAGATCTAAGCCTGGAGGAGGCAGTAAATAAATGTAATTAATGATCAGAAGTGTTCCTCTCAGTTCACGATGTCCTCTGCTAATTCATGCTTCTTTTTATGTAATACTTGGATTAAAAAGTATTCAAAAGTTTAAATTTGAACCCTGTTAACTGATTTCTGTCATTTTGCTCTCCCGTAGCGATGACTGTCCGGAACGGAGGGAACGTGCTGGTTCCCTGCTATCCCTCTGGAGTGATCTACGACCTGCTGGAGTGCCTGTACCAGTACATTGACTCTGCAGGGCTCTCCAATGTCCCTTTTTATTTCATCTCACCTGTTGCCAACAGCTCCCTGGAGTTCTCCCAGATCTTTGCTGAGTGGTAGGTGTCCAGGGGCTGCTCCACCAGCCCCACTTCTCACCCTCGGCCCTGGGAAATTGTTCTCTCTGCCTGACATGTTCTAATTTACACTTGATTAGAATTGTGGAGGCGTTTCTGGAGTCACAGGGGGGTGTGGGTGTGTGTGTAAGTAGATGTTCTATAATTAGGGAAGGATCATTTCCTATAGAATGTACAAACTCAAATAATCTCTGCTTTTTGGTACTTGTGCTGATGATTAAATGATGTTCCTGACTTGAGGGAGTTTTAGCTGCCCCTGTTTCTATGTTTTACTCCCTCAAAACTCTACCACGGTGTCCCTAGATAAGCAAAATAGATTTTTCAGGCTTAATTTTGCTTAGCCAGCAATGTATTTTCATGGAAAAAAAAAAAAAAGGGCAGGAGTATCCTGGGCTGGATGAGGCAGAGCAGTCGGATCAGGAGAGGGGATCTTGCTCTGCTCAGCCCTGCTGAGGCCACATGGAGAGTGTTCTGTCTCCAGTACAAGAAGGATATGGGATTACTGGAGTAAGGCCAGCACAGGGCCACAGAGGTGAGGAGCCTGGAGAGCAGAAGGCCCAGGGGAATCTTATCTATGTGTAGAAACACCTGATGGGAAGAGGTAAGGATGAGGGATCAGACTCCTCAGCAGGGCCCACTGACAGAACAAGAGGCACAAATTGAAACGTGACATTCCAACAGGGTGATGGCATAAACTGCCAGAGGGCAGGGTTAGATGGGATATTGGGAAGGAATTCTTTGCTAAAAGGGTGGTGAGACCCTGGCACGGGTTGCCCAGAGCAGCTGTGGCTGCCCCATCCCTGGAAGTGTCCAAGGCCAGGTTGGAGCAACCTGGAATAGTGGAAGGTGTCCCAGCCCATGGCAGGAGGTTGAAAAAAAGATGAGCTTCAAGGCCCCTTCCAACCCCAATCATTCCATGATTCTGTGATTCTGTGGAACACTGGAACAGGTTGTGCAGAGAGGGCATGGAGAGTTTTCTATGGAGACACCAAAACCCAACTGGACACGGTCCTGGATGACCTGTTGTATGTGGGAATGCTTGAGCAGGGGTTTGGACTGGATCCCAAGAGATCCCTTCCAACCTCAACCATTCTGTGATTCTGAGCCTTGGAGAGGAGAGCCCAACCACCTGGAACTCCTTCCAAATTTTTACAACTGGAGACATGCTCTAGATTATTAGGGTTAGGTAGCTTTTCCTTTCTTTCTTCCTCTCCAGATATTTTAAGTCTGGAGGCCCTGAAAATCCTATGTGATTTGGTCCCTCAGGAGAATTGTAAAGAGGATTGAAATCTGGTGAATTTACATGGAATGGAGGCAGAGATACAACCATCTGTTAAAAAGAGGTTTGGGGTCAGAGCTGGGGTTGATATTCAGGGATTCCAGCCTCCAGTTCTACTCTTTAGTCAGCTGAAGAAAATGTCCTGCTCTTAATACCTCCTAGACTTTATCAAAATTAGTTTGACCCAGGCTGATTGCTTTTTAATAAAGTGAAAGTATGAGGCAGGCAGTGTTTCCCAGAAAAGGCCACCAGGACATTGTCACTGCAGATAATTGTCACCCAGACCTCTGACAAACAGCTTCTGTAATAGGATGAATCAGGAGCCTGGATAGAGCTCATCAACAGCTCTCAATATCTGTGTTTTAAAGATAAATGATGTAAAATGGCAGGTCCCTGTGAGTGTTGGGCCGTGGTGAGAGGCATTTTACTGACACTGCAGCTACAAAAGCAAAATGCACAGGAGAATGAGTTTAGAAGGAGCAAAAGGACCAAGTCACCGATGAGAAGTGGGATGAGGCAAGTGGAGTTTTTCTGTTGACAGATGATTTGGCTTTGCAAAAACTGCTGAGGTCTGGACTGGGAAATGGGCATGTTGAGTTACAGATTTGCCTTCAGCAGCAAAGGATCTGTTACAGTGTGTACAGAATTACCTTCAGCTGTCTTGCACCTTCCCTGCGTGATCTCACTGTGATTGAGTTGTTGTTCCATGTGGGTGTTGATCCTCTGACTAGAAAGACTGGAAGCAACAAAACAAATCAGTGATTTTGCACCTGATGCCAGGAATCCAACGTGGTTTTCTCCAAAAAAAAAGAAAAAAGTGTGTCAGTAGATGGCAGCAGATGCTGCAGGATGTTCTGCACCTCTAACCCAGCTGGTTTCCTTTGCTTTTACAGGTTGTGTCATAACAAACAAACAAAGGTGTATCTTCCAGAGCCTCCTTTTCCCCATGCTGAGGTAAGTAAACCATGGTCTTGTTTAGTTTCTGGATCACAGTCCTGTGTGGCTGTTGTTTTTTGGGTGAACCCTTGTACAGCTCCTTAAGTTTTGTGTCATTATTCACACAAGTGGTTTTCCTTTCCTTTCTGTGATGAATTTGGGAGCGTGGGGGAGGAAGGAATGATGGTGTTCCCTCAACTCCAAAATTCCCATCTTTATTTCAGTATCTCACACACAGTATCTCACATTCCCCTCAGAATGTGATCCATGTACACATGGTCGGGTGTTTGCTCTTATCCCACTGCAACCACGAGTATTCCCAGTGTCCAAGCAGTTCATTCCAAAGTCTAAAACTAAGAGCTTGTCACCAGAGACAGTTTAGTCATCCCAGCTCCTGCCTCCCTGGAACAGGCACCCTGTTTGCTGCAGGAGAAATGGTACCTTGGAAGAGAGTTTCTATATAAAAAGTTCAAGCTTGCAGCACTGGGTGCTGTCACTGGCACTTTTAAATGGAATTACTTGAGCATTGCAGTGAAGCAGAGAGGAATGAGGTTCCTGGCTTTGGAGGATCTTCCCTGCAACAAAATAAGAATTTGAGGGGAGGTTTTAGCCAACCAGACATTAAATAAATGCGGGGGAGCTCGTGCCTTCAGAGGTATCTCACGTATCAAGGAAGGAAATTCTCCACTGGGAACAGGCGGTTTTCCCTCTGAAGTAAACGAGAGGCAGGTTGGGAAAAGAAGAAACAGGACTGAGAAATAATTTTAGCTAAATCCTCCTCCATTTGAGGCGTGCAGAAAACTGTCTCTTCTGGTTGCTGTGGTCCAGACTGTTTCGTGAGATATCCAGGGTGGTCACTGCAGATTTAAGAGCCCAGAAATTAAATCCTTTTACAGACGTGTTTGGGGTTTTTTTTTTTCCATCTGAAAATGTGTCATCCAGGGATTTGTTCTGGAAATTGCCATTACCCATCACATCTATCATCTGTAGGTGCTTCAAAGGCGTTGTTGGAAGTAGGATCTGACCAGGAGCCCTCACTCTTTCCAGATGCTTGAACGTATTTCAAGCAGGATGTGCAGTGAATTATGTATAATCTGTTACCAGAAATAATGTGGACTGCAGGGCAAGCCACCTGCTCACCACTTATTTTCTAACCAAAAAAAATTTATTCCCACTGATGTATCAATTCCAAAGGCTGATCCCTGAGTACAAGACTCTCTTCCCCTCCGTCTCTGCTTTCTGGGGTGTCCTTGATGTTCCACAGTGTCGTTGCTTTCACTGACAGCCCATATTCTGGTTCACAGTGTGCTCTGGAACGGGCAGATTGAAGTGAAAACCCATCCAAAAAAAGAGAAGCCAAACATGCAGCTGTCACAGACTGGATTAATTAACCCATCTTACATGATGGGCCTTTGTGTTTATAGAGTGATAACGGTGTCCTCTCATTCTTAGGACGTTTTATATTCTCCAGAGGCCTGTTGAGGATGAGATTTTGCCAAATTATTGTGTGGCTGTTGAAGCAGCTTTGCAAAAGCTGCTCTGTGCTTCTTGTGGAGATCAAGGTGATTATGCAGGAAAGGCCTCCCAGCAGGGGATCACAGATCAGCTCAGGGACCATCCACAAGATGTCCATGTCAGGGCCCCAGTGCTCAGCACATGCCTTGGCTTCCTTGTTAAATCTGCAAAATCTTGCAGCTGACACTGTGTGTGGACCTCACAGGATATAAAACATCTATATAACCACTTTTCCTGTGGCTCCACAACCTCCCAGTCAGGAGCTTTTGCTTACTGGCGCTTCAGGGGGTTTTTAATGAGCACGAGAAGCAGACAGTGAGTGATGGTTTCTACTGGACAGGTTGTTAGTGGGGAATTGCTTTACTTTTCTCAAAGTAATGGTGGGTTGTGCAGTGTAACCTGCACAGAAATTGCCCATCATGAAAAGATGTGCTTTAACTGCTCAGTTGTTGGAGGAAAATAGGGAATTACTCAGACATGTCTCTTAGTTCTTAGGAAGCATTAATAACATGCCTGGCATGATACATCAGAGAGGGACAGGCCAGGAAATAAGTTTCTAATTATCTCCAGAACAAGCCCAGCCCAGCGCAATGCTGATCCTGAAATTTGATGTTCCTGCTTAGTTGTATAAACAGCAAGATTTAAAAGCAAACAAGGCAAAAATTCCCCCAAATCCTTGTTGTGGTCTCTTGCAGCACTGAGTTCCAGCGTATCATAACAGAATAATTACTTCCTTTAATCAGCTGGGATTGTATTTGGCATTTCACTTAACTACCCCTTTATTATTGTCACAAGAGGATAAATAAAAGCATCTTCATTGTCTCTGCAATTACTATTTTTATTTCTCCTCCCTCTCCCCACTGAGTTGTTTGAAGCTTTTTCCTTCTCTCCGCGTGGAAATTTTCCAGGTTTGTGGTTTCTGTTGCGTGTTTTGAGCTCGTTCCTTGTTCTTCTGCTGTGCTGAATAAAACCAGCACACGTGTTCAGCTCTGCAGAGGACCCAAAACACCTCTCCCTCCTTGTTAGTGCCACTTTACTGTAGTAGTAGGTGCTCAGCCATCTCCTCCTACACAGTCACTGGTGCAGTTTTTGAGGTGGAAATTTGTTTCCCAACATCCAGTCTGAATGAAGAGGGAATATCCTTTCCCTCTGAGCGAGGCACGTGGGTTAAAGTGCTTCAGGTTTGTAGGGATGGATTTGGATATCAGTTCCTGCTGAAATTAGTATGAATGGAGTGTCCAGATTCTTGCACACAAGCTGGTGAAGTCCCACCTGCAGCCTTTTAGCAGTGCACAAACCAAAAAAAACACTTCTTTTTAAAGGCATTTCTGAGGGAAGAGTTGCTGTGACTGTGTTGGAGGGACTTAGGATATGGGTCAAGACTCCTGTGCATTCCAGCCAGACATTTCCCAGGAGGAAAAGCAGGGAAGTGGAGGAATGGTTAGGGAGGGGATGGGTGGCGCTGTGGGTGGCTCTCCCCTGTGCTGGAACAGAAGTGGAAATTCAGTTTTTCACCAGCAGTTACTGGGATGGGGAAGGGAGGAGAAGGAGCTCAAACTGGGAAAATGTTGCTAAGGTAAAAACTGGAGATCCCAAATGTTTGTGGATGCAGCAGGCTGGGGGGGGCTTTCACTTCCAAGCCCCTGTATCAGTTATATCCAAGGATCCACTGTCTAAATAGGCTCAGGTTTGAGCTCCACAATTCCTTGGTGGAATGCTCTGGACCATAAATCAGTAATTTGTTCTGTTTAGAAATGTTATTCTGGTATTCCAGAACCAACTTGTGGTTTTTTATCAAATTCCACCTGGGAATGTCCCATCCCAACACAGGCACAGCTGAGGAATTAGCCATCCCCCTGACCATTTTACCAGGAACCATGGATTTTTTGACTTTAGAACATCCTTTTTTGACTTTATAAATTAATGGCTGAATTGTTCCAGCAAGGCAAAATGAGGAGCTTTCACTCCTTTTCCTCTCTGGTCGATCTTTCCACGGACAATTTCAGGCACTGAGATAAGTGACTCCAGACTTCTGTAAATGTCTGCAACAATAAAATTTGAGAGGTAATTTATATTGATCAGTATTTGCCGGTGGAGGAAGAATTTGGATTTACTGTGCTCTTATTAAGGATTCTGTGAGCAACATCTAAGAGAAATGGCTACAAAAAATCCTTTTTTTCTGACTCAAAGATGAGCCAGAGTGGGAGTAATATTGATTCTGTGGTCTTAAATACCAGCATTTTTCTTCTTCAGCTTTGGTTCCCTCCCCCATATACCAGTTCCTGTGTAACACACATTTCAGTAAATACCTGGAATCAGGTGATTATATAGTATTATAGTTTGGTTTATAGTTCTATAGAGAATTGTAATATGAATAATTATTATAGAGGAGTTGGACTCAATGATCCTTGTGGGTCCCTTCCTGCTCTGGATATTCTCTGATAGAATTAGGCCCCTGTTAGTGTTGATTTTATGGAGGGAGTGAGGGAGGTGAAATAATAAACGTATCATTCCCTGATAGGAACCACATTTGTTCCAAATTCTGGCTCCAGAGCACACACACACACACACACACAGAGTAAACAGCAGTGTGTTTTGGCTCACTTCAACAAAGGGTACACAAAGGCTCTGGAGATTTATCCTGTTTATAGCAGCAGTTGCTGACCCTGTAAATCAAGCCCACAGCTTTAAAGGAAAGCAGAACCATTTGGGATTTTCAGAAAAAACACAGCTCTCAGTCTTGATTCAGTGCTTTACCAGCCTCTGTCTCTTAAGCTCTCAGTCAACAGTGGTTCTTTCTGTGCAGAGATGCTCTGAGTGTTGCTCCTGCTTTCCAGCTTGTGGAAATCCTGGCTGGCTCAATGCCAGGCATTGCTTTTGGCCCAGGTTGGAGATCTGACCGTGGCTGTTGTGCTTACACACCCCAGCTCATCTGCACAGAGGAAAAAAAACCAGTACAAATCATTACAGATTCAGTCCCTTTAATGATCTGTGAAATTCTGTTGGGCCTGTCCTGCATTTCAGCCTCATAGTTTTTGGATGGGGTAATTAGGGAAGGCTTTGCTGCAGGCACTAAAATCCACCAGCTGCTTTATCACTGGAGTGGACAGAATGTCTCCAAAGTTGGTTTTGCAGCCTTTCACCCCTGCTCTGTCCACCTGTGAGAGCCAGAGATTGGGAGCTAAACTATGGAGCTTCACTGGACTTCTCAGGAAAGATCTTTCAAGGTAAAAAGAAAAGATAAAGGAAAAAAAAATCATCACCAACGAGGCCCTGAAAAGTGGATTAGAGACCCTGTGTCTCTTTTCCAAAGTAATAGGAGGGAATTTGAAGCTTCCATAATGCTTTGAAGAGAATCCAGCTTTTATGTTGCTAAGCAGTGAACATTTGTGTAGGTACAGCAGGGAAATAAGCTGTTCAGTGCTTTTGTACATGGAGTGCTGCTCTCACATCTTCACAAAGATTTGAATGCTGCACACAAATATATATCATTTGAAGGAGCCTGTGAAAGAGGAAGAACACTTTGTGATTATCAGGAGTGTGTTACATAAATAGTAGCTATAGAAATGTCTTTCACTTCACTGTCTGCCTGTCCCTGGCAAAGTTCTGCCCTGGAATGTCACATATCCCATTTAATATTTGAAGTACAAATTGTCCCCTTCTTCCAGTTTACCCAAATTAAACTACTTTTGCAACTTCAGTTTTAAGACTTTTGTCTTCCCCCAAAAAAACCCAACCAAACCACGGAAAAGCTTCTTGGGGTCATTTCCTACAAGTTCATTTAAATGCCAGGATTTTATGGATTCAAACTCAGTTGGCCCATTGTCTGCTAAACTGCAGTTTGTGTTACTGAAGCTAAGTTTAGATTCTAAATCCTGCCTGCCAGATGTGTTAATCAGAAATCTTTACCAGCCTTAATTGCAGGAATGTTTTTGAGATTCAGTGCATATCAACTGCCAGAGCAGTTGCTGGATGGTTTTTTTCCAATCTCCCTCTTGAAGTTTAAATAGGAATTAGCTATTACTTGTAAACTGCAGTGAAGTATAGTCCCCTTTCTACATCCTCCATGACCCATGGAAATCACAGGCTGTGTCCACCTGCAGGATTGTGTGATAACCATAAGTTCTGGAGTGCATAAATTGATAAGAGACTTAGAGAAGCATCAGAATTCTCAGTTTCTCTTCATTTCCAAGTAGGCACATTATCCAGAGTTAGGTCTGCCATGGTAAAAAATAACACAGAACAAGAGGAAATGGCCTTAAGCTGAAGGAGGGAGTGTTTAGGTGGGATATTGGGAAGGAATTCTTGGCTGGGAGGGTGGGGAGGCCCTGGCACAGCTTGCCCAGAGAGGGTGTGGACTCCCCAGCCCTGGAAGTGTCCAAGGCCAGGCTGGACAGGGCTTGGAGCAACCTGGGACGGTGGAAGGTGTCCCTGCCCATGGCAGGGGGTGGAACTGGATGAGCTTTAAGGTCCTTTCCAGCATTTCCAACCCAAACCATTCTGGGATTCCATGACCAGTCCAACCTCCTTTAAACACTGGCTCCCAAGGGAAGCCCCATTCCCCTCGTTCCCACTCTTTATCTCTGTGTCTGTTCTCAGTTGCTCAGTGTGTGATTTCCTGTGTTAAATTACATGCCTTTTAAGAAAACTGTATTTACACTTATTTTCAAGCTGGAGATGGAAGCATAAACCTACCGAGAAAAAAACTTCCAAATATTGCCTGAAAGTGCTTCCCAGACTGGTTTATTAAATTGCTTTTAAGTTGCAGCTTGTTTTGCAGATTAGAAAACAGTGGCAGGAGGAATAAAGCAAAACTCTTTGAAAAGTGCCTTGATAAATAAACTCCATCTCAGTAAAGAAATCTGTTCCACCTGCAGAGCTGATTGCACTGTTTGCAAGACATCTTATTGCTCCTAATTCATTTTTATCACTGTTTTCAGAGATAGTTAAGGAAGGGCAAGTCAGGCTGTTCTTTTTCAGCAGATTTGACTTTGTGGGAACCCTTTAGACCAACAAAGCTCGTGGCAACATTCTGCTGAAGGCACAAGTGCCTGGTAGTGCTGGGATGGAAGAAAAGCAGGTTAAACATGTGCCTGGAGCTCTTTGCAGGCATGGCAAAGAGGAGAAAGCAGCTTATTTTGAATTTGGCAGCCGAGCTCTCTGTTCACTCCAGGAAACTCTAAGCAAGGGAGTGTTTGCAGAGTTTCCTCTCAGTCACCAACTGCTGGTACCAAAGAAATGAGAGCAAGGACTTGGAGGCACCTGGCCCCATGCTCTGACTTCCTTTTCATAACATTTAGGACAGTCATGACCGAATTTGTTGGAAAATCGGAGGGATATGCAGGAAGGGACTCTGTGATCAAGTTAGAAATAAACTGTAGGATATTCGTAATCTCATGTAAATAAACACACTGAAGCCCACAGGCCTGAAAAGTTGGTCATGTCTGGGTTTTTGTTTTTATTTCAGCTCATTCAGACAAACAAATTGAAGCATTATCCCAGCATCCACGGGGACTTCAGCAATGACTTCAAGCAGCCCTGTGTTGTGTTCACTGGGCATCCCTCTCTGAGGTTTGGGGATGTGGTGCATTTCATGGAGTTGTGGGGAAAATCCAGCTTGAACACTGTCATCTTCACAGGTAAGTGAAATGCTGATCTCATTAGCAAATTAACAGTAGGTTGTGCTCTCCGGTTAAGTGTGGCCACATCCCTGGGGCTTTACTCATTTATTCTGGGGCAGAAGTTTCTGACTTCAGCAGCAACTTATCTAAATTAAGACCCCAGGACTGACCTTAGGGCCAAATGTAATTACTGTGCCATTTAATTCTCTGTGGCCCTGCAGAGCCAACCTTTGCCTTGCAGAGCCCGTTCCTGCCACGTCTGAGCAAGAGCTTTGTTCTGCTCAGCAGTAAAATGCCTACAGGAAATGAAGTTTTGAATTAAAAGCAGCTGGCTGCAAGTTAAACCCAGGCAAGACCTAATTGATGCTCGTCAGGAAGGAGAAACACTTCTTTTCCATATTCCACTGGAACCACAAACCTTTCCTCATCCCTTCTCCTGCCCTTTCATCAAAACCTCAGGGCAACCAGAGAGTGTTTCTGGAGGGGTTTCTGTCGTCTCTGCTGCTTCAGAAGTGTGCCCCCCACACAGACCTGGCAGTGGGATCTGGGCTGTTCCTCCCTTTTGGTTGAGCTTTTCCTTGGATGCTTTTTGGCTGGCAGACACCTTTGTAGCTGAAGGTGAAGGTGCAGCTCTGGCTGATGCTTTGGCAGCTGTTTTTTCCCAACGCCTCAGAAGCACAACAGGTCTTTGAAGTTCCTCCACTTCCCTCAGTCTGCTTCTAGTGCTGGCCCTGCTCAAAAATACTTCAGGGCCTTCCCTCAAACTGATGTCCAGGTGTATTTATACCTGGTGTGTCATCCAAACAGGACCCACAGTGGGAATTCTTCAGATCTGAGAAGGCAAATAATAATCCTTTAGGCTGTTGCTACTGATTTTGTGTCTAACCAGCTCTGGTGTGATGGGAGGTGTGTTATATTTAACTTACCCAGGTAAAAAAGGTGTGGATTTGGGACTTGGACAGAGTGATGGGGAGGAGAATCCTGAGTAATGGATCAAACTACTCCCACAGCAAGGGTGGGATGGAGTCCTGCTGTTAAGCTTCTTTTCCTTCTCAGTGAATAGGAAAACTGCTGGAAAGCACAAAATGTCCTAAAGCAAAGAGGGCTGGGAAAGGGTTATTTCCTTCCTTCTAACTTCTTTAAGCAAGTCCCTTTAAGTCTTTCATAATATTGACACCAAAGAGTGTCACAGTATCATGATACTGCTGAACCAATTTGGGGAGATTAAAAGTGTGTAATTAGCCCTGTGCAAGGGGAGGGGAGATTGGAGGGGGCTCCTGCTGGGCACTTAAATGTAGACTCTGTTTGTGCTGAAATGTTGTGTGGTCCCACAGCTGCTGCAGTGCCATCCCTCCTGACCCTGGAGGTAGTTCAGGAGACAAGCCCTAATTACTGTAATTGGTAAAACTGCAAAATAGATCTGCATTGTCTTGGAAATAGTGAATTCTGCTCTGGCTGGAACTTCCACTCCGCGTGTGCAGAGCCTTTGCTGGGGTGTGCATTTCATGAATCCCTGGGGAATCAGTGGCATTAATCATGTTCTGAGTGTGCTGCCCAGGGTGTCAGAAACTGGCCTTTAATGGCAGGAACTCTCATTCTGTGTCTTCTTGAAGGGAAGAGGCAGTTGACCTTTCTGTATTAAATCCTAATCCTCTGTGGATCGAGGCGGTCGAGCACTTCTGTCAGAGCCTGGCAGGTTGTTAAAGGCATTGGAATGTCAGTCCTAACAACCCGTGGGTGCATCAGGTCATGGTCTTGGAGACTTTTTTCCCACTTTATACTTCAAATAAAGCACCAGTTGAGAGCTGCTTTGATAGGGTGACCTTGGAGTGCACAGCGATTCCGGGTGGTTCGTTTCCTAAATTCATCCGTCCGTGGCTTTTGTCTCTGTCTGGAGGCACCTCCACTGGGCAGGATGTTCCTACTTCCTTCTGACTCTCTACTCCTAGTCCTACTTTTTCCATTTAATATTTGAAGTAGAAATTGTCCCTTTCTTCCAGGTTTACCCAAATTAAACTACTTCTGCAACCTCAGTTTTAAAGACTTTTGGCTTCCCTCAAGAAAAGATGCCTCAGCTGGAACAAAACCACGTGGTTTAGTGGTGGGCTTGGCAGCTGGACCCAGTGACCTTAGAGGTTTTTTCCAGCCTAAAATATTCTATGATCTATGTATGTAGAAATTCCCAGAAGATTAAATTCTTCTGTTCTTGGTAACTCCAGTGAAAATCTGAAGCATTGATACCCAATAAAATAACATTAATACTAAATTAATGTTAATTTATTATTTTATTATTTTTCTGGTTTAAGCTAAAATCTGTGGTTGTGAAAGAACCATTGAAGCAGTTGTGAGAGCAGATGACATTTGAGCTTTTCCTGGTTTCTAATAATTAAGACCTTTAAACTACAGGCCATCCAGCATTGTTAATGATGACACTGCTTGTTCAGTCCACAGGGGCCAGGTAGTCTCCACCTTTCCAATCTGCGATGTAAAAAACAACTACAAGAATATGGATTAAACCAGCAGCAGCAGGACCCCAGCTGTGAGTGAGCTGTGGTGCTGCTCTGCTGGCTCCTGTCATTGCAAACATTCCTGCTGGAGCAGTATTGAGTAGATTATTGATTAAAAATATTGAACACCACTGAGCCACAAAGAAATTCTGGAAGGAGACACGGTACAAAGAAGCTGCTTCTTGCTCTGGTCGCAGCAATGCCTTAAAAACCAGCTCCCTTGGACATCTTAAACCAGCTCATGGCACATCAGTGCTGTGCAGGGGAAGGTTTTATAACTCGGTGTCACACAGCAGTGAATCAGGAGTCTTGGGGGAAAAAAAACTGTAATTCTGTCAGGAAGAGTCACTGTGTGTCCTTGACAAGCACAGTTTGCCATCGGACAGGTGACTTTGGATTTGTGGTGGTTTCAGAACAGCAGGTCCTGTGGGTCACAGGAGCTGAGACCAGCTCAAGTTGCGTTTTTCACATGTGAAGATTTTCCAAGCCCTGTGTTAGAATTCCCTTGTTAGAATTTCTCACTTTTCCAAGGCTCTTACGTTCCTATTAGTTGTCCAGAGACTCACTGTGGGCTGGAAGCCGTTTGGGATTGCAGGATCAAAAATCCATGTCTGTGCATTATCTGAGCCTCTGACTCAGAAATACTCAATCTGAGCAGGTGCTGCCTCAAATCTCCTCAGATGGGATGGAAAAACTTCCTTCTGATGACTTTTTTAACTTAATTTTTTCTGTTTCATGTCACATCTCTAACGGAGGAGCTCGGCCTGACTTAAACTTTCTGTTTTCCCCTTATGACTTTTAAAATGTCTTCTGATTTAACCCTAACTGATCACTGATCATTCTTCAACTAGCTGCCTTCCCAGTATTCCTATTTTTAAACTTCTGCTCACTGCTGTTAAATTTAACTGACACTAAATGCCATTTTTACATGGATATTTTTAGGCTTTGTTTCACTGCCACCACCACATCTGCTTTTAACTAACGTGGCTTTTTGCCCAGCACGATTTGTATTTCATGTTTGTGGATTCATGGCTTTTGGGGCATCTTGTAAGATGTCCTCGTTAATATTTCTCACTTTAATGTTCCCAGACAATTGCTTTAAATCTGGGAAAATGATCCCTTTAACAGCTCCAAACTCCTGTATCCTTGGCTGGCTCCATATTCCGCTCTCCCAGGGTAAATATCCCCCCATCACTCACTGGTGCTCAGCCAGCAGCAGATTTTTGGGAGAGCAGTTAACTTGTCTTTATGTTGGATCTCCTGCTGGGTGCTGAAATTTGAAGGAGATTTTCCCTTGCTGTCTGCAGGAGAAATCCAGCCCTGTGCTCTGCTCAGGGAAGAACATCTGGTTAAATCCAGAGTGAAGTCTCTGAATTTCAGTCTCCTTCAAGTTCCTCCTTTCACAGCCTGAGCAGGTACCAGAGAAAAGCCTCCAGCAAGGCTTGAACTGCACTTCACCCTGCAGGGTGTCCTTTGGTTCAGGATAATCCAGCAGATAAGGCTTTCATGCATCCCTTTCCCTTTTTCCTTTGTCCTTATCAAGCTAATACCAGTTTGCCTTTTTCCACCATTCCCTTTGTGTCCTCTCTCCCACAATTATCAGGTAGATGGTGCTGGCATAAGCATTTCCACATCATTAGTTGGTGACCCCCCAGAATCAAGAGGTGACATGTACCCTACACTGTGTCACCTGAGATCTACATTTGTCATCCACTCCCCAAAAAATTGTCTTTTTCTGTAATATTGTCAATGTTTTATTTCTCTCTGTGTGAGTAAGAGCCCATTCAGTGCATGACTTTTCCCTGGCAAACCTCTCATCTGATTTTTAAAAGTCAGTAATGAAAGGCCCTTTGCTTTTCCACCAGTCTAAACCTGGCACTTAGATTCAGAAGAAGATATATATATATATATACACACAACAATATGATCTTTATGCTGCATTTTTATCATAGTGAAAACCAGGCTGCCATTTGGGTTACCTTATGAGACCCAAAATGACACATCTTGCCTTCTTTTGCAGGATCTGATTAAAAAGAAGAGGTGGTGTTTGTGTCATGATTAAATTTGCTTTAAAAAATCATGCAGTAACATGTTCAAATGGAATAGTGTTGCTCTGTTGCTTGATTAAGGGAAGACTAATTGTGGGCGTAATTTTCATCAAATTAATTGAAAATAATGGGTGAGGGGAGGAGGAAGGGAAGAGAGATGTGTAACAGAATTAACATTGCTGAACAACAGCTCCTTTAATTCCTGAATGTGGAGTCTGAGAGGGATTGGGCCATGTTTGTTGTTAATAAACATTCAGTGTTTCCAACATTTCTCTTTCCAGAACCTGATTTCTCTTACCTGGATGCTCTGGCTCCGTATCAGCCCTTGGCAATGAAATGTGTTTACTGTCCCATTGACACAAGGCTCAATTTTATTCAGGTGTCTAAATTACTCAAAGAAGTCCAGGTAAGGATTTTTCTCTTGCCTTTTCCCATGTTTCTTCACACACTTGTAATAAATAAATCAACTGTGAACAACTGATACATTAAACAAAAATCAGGACAACAACTTTTTTTTTTCCATGAGACATCACAGAGCATTGAGCTCTCCTTTGGGAGAGGTCTGGGAAAAAGGCCAGAGGGTTCTTGTAGTCTCTGCATTCCCCCCTTGACTCTTCTGGGCTTTAGTGACCTCTCTTTGTCCATCTCCCTTGTTTCCACTGAAATTTGCTTTCTGACTCATGACATAATTAAAGTAATACCCAGATTTTTTTTCTGGCTGAGTTTTTCCCTGTGTTTTGCCCTCAGCTTGTTGAACTCAAGAGATACTTCACACATACTCTTCCAAACCTCCTGGCTCATTTTCTCTCATTGTTCTGCCTTGTCGCTGCACAACTGATAGAATTGCCACAGCCTGCTTTTGGATAAGCGTCTTCTCCCATGTTTTTCCTGGTGTGTTATGCTGTCTCCAAAACACTTTGCAGAACCACTGTCTTCTCCTTTGCCTTCCTTAAATCCTGCAGTGATCCTTGGGGCCACCAGCCTGGTTCTGCTCTGTCAACATATCTCTGACAGGTCATGAAAACTCAAAGAGCTGCTTGTTGTGCTGATGTTTTTCACAGAACCACAGGATATGCTGAGCTGGAAGGGACCCTCAAGGATCATCAAGTCCAACCCCAAGAGTCACACCATGTGCCCCAGAGTATCATCCAAATGCTCCTTGAGCTCTGGCAGCCTTGGTGCTGTGCTCACTGCCCTGGGGAGCCTGTTCAGTGCTCAGCCACCCTCTGGGGGAAGAACCTTTCCCTGAGATCCAACCTAAACCTGCTCTGGCACAGCTCCAGCCCATTCCCTGGGGTCCTGTCAGTGGTCCCCCCAGAGCTTAGGGCCCTCCTCTCCTCTTTGCCTCCTGAGGAAGTTGTAACTGCAGTGAGGTCTCCCCTCAGTCTCCTCTTCTCCAGCTGAACACACCAAGTGCCCTCCCTTGCATGTTAACACATCTCCATGACAATTTTGGGATGGCCTTCACCACTACAGCCGTTTACTTCCCAGTTCAGACAACAAGGATTTGGAAGAAAAAGCTACTCGAGCTTCTCGGGTTTTTTTTCTCTCCTTATGGCAACTGCTGATGCCCAAAGGGTGATGAAGGACACGGCTCCTCCTGTTTTGCAGCCCCTGCACGTGGTGTGCCCGGAGCAGTACACGCAGCCCCCGCCCACCCAGTCGCACCGCACGGACCTGATGGTGGACTGCCAGCCCCCGGCCATGTCCTACCGCCGCGCCGAGGTGCTCACCCTGCCCTACAAGCGCCGCTACGAGAAGATCGAGATCATGCCAGACGTGAGTGACTGCGCTGGGGGCCGCAAATCCCAGCTGCTGCTTCAGCAGCCCCTGTAGGAATCACGGGATTGCTAAGGTTGGAAAAGACCTTTAAGGTCATCGAGGCCGTCGGCCAACCTGCAGCAGCACCACGGTCAGCACTAAACCGTGTCCTCAAGTGCCACCACTGCCCCTTCCAAGGGCAGCCCCTTCCAATGCCTGACCACCCTTTCCATGAAGGAATTGTTCCCAGTATCCAATCTAAACCTTGCCTGGTGCAACTTGAGGCCGTTCCCTCTCTTCCTGCCCCATGTTCCCTGGGAGCAGAGCCCAACTTCCCTCGGCTCTCCCCTCCTGTCAGGGAGTTGCAGAGAGCCAGAAGGTCCCCCCTGAGCCTCCTTTTCTCCAGGCTGAGCCCCCCCAGCTCCCTCAGACTCTCCTGCTGCTCCAGCCCCTTCCTCAGCTCCATTCCCTTCCCTGGACACACTCCAGCCCCTCCATGTCTCTCTTGTCTGAGGGGCCCAGAACTGCCCCCAGCCCTGGAGGTGCAGCCTCAGAACTACAGATGTTCATTCTGAAGATATTTGCAGCCTTTGACTAAAGGAATCTTGTGGTTGGGGTTTACTGGTGACTGTGATCTTGTAAAGCATGTTCTGTCAAATGCAGGGCTAAGAAAAAAGCATTTTTGAGAGACAATTTCAGTGTGTCAGCTAATGGGAATTGAAAACTGGCTGGCTGAGAGAGATGGGGCTCTTAAGCCTGGAAAAGAGACCTTGGAGCCTCTTCCAGTGCCTAAAGGGGCTCCAGGAGAGCTGGGGAGGGACTTGGGACAAGGGATGGAGGGACAGGACAGGAATGGCTTCTCGCTACCACAGGGCAGGGTTATTTGGGGTATTGGGAAGGAATTGTTGGCTGGGAGGGTGGGGAGGCCCTGGCACAGCTTGCCCAGAGAAGCTGTGGCTGCCCCTGGATCCCTGGAAGTGTTCCAGGCCAGGTTGGACAGGGCTTGGAGCAAGCTGGGCTAGTGGAAGGTGTCCCTGCCCATGGCAGGCAGTGGGATGGGATGATCTTTAAAGTCCCTTCCAACCCAAACCATTCTGGGATTCTTGTGATAGTGGGCAAGCAAAAATATGTTCAGGTGAATTGTCCTTTGCAAGGATATCACATCTACAATTCAAAGGGTGATCGCTGCAAGCCACAGGTGAGGCAACCAGTCACCTCCAGTTTAAATATGGGTGTGAATTAGTTTGAATTAGTGCCCCAGGGTCATGGAAAGGATCCCAGGAATCTGGGACTTGGTAGCCAGGAGGTGTCTTTCTCCTTCCTTGCAAATACCCTTCCCTGTGAGGAGCAGTGTTCAGCCATATGTTAAAGAAGCAGTGAAAAGGCTCATTTGTATTTCAACAATTTCAACAAATGGTTAATTCCTACAGGCTGCAGAAGTCCAGCAGGTTAATGGATTGCTTGTAGGCATCTAAAATGTGGATTACTTATCCCCACAACATCTATTAATGATTCATTAACCCCATAAATCAAATCCAAATGTACCCATCTCACAAAGGCTGACCCACATTCCGACAGACACGAGCTTAAAATATTTTTTTGACACTCCAATCAGCACAAATGTGTCCTTGGATCAAAGGTGACAGTGGCTTTTTGCAAGCAGGTTTGGAAACTCGAATAGTGAGTCTACTTTTCCTCAGGGAGCAGAGGGAGGAGGGACCCTTAGTTGAGCTAAATATGAAGTACAGAACTGGGACTCTGGTGACAAATCCCTCAGCCAGCCCCTGACCCCCATTCCCACCATTTCACACCCGTTCTGCTGGGAGCCTGCCCAGCCCACTGCTTGGAGACAAGGAGGGGGGGGGTTAATTAGCAAATATGCTTGGATGCAGCTCCATCATGGCCTGGATATTTAATTGTTTGGGAAATTTGCATCTTTATTGGATCCTATGAAACCTAAGCCAGCACGACCAAAACAAATCCTCAATCCAGCAGCCGGTGGCTCAGCTCTTATTTAGATTTCACTGAAGCTTTGGGTTTTCCCCTGAGCTGTGAGAGTGAAAATGAGCCCTTGTGAGCCTGTCCCTTGTGTCATACCTCTGAAGGGGGTGGATACCAGCTCTTCCTGCCCTTCCCAAAACTGCTGGGAGAGAGGATGCTCTGTAGGGAATGTGGTAGTCACCAACCTGGGAAAAGAAGCACAAAGGAAATGAGGGCTGGTTTCTGTTGCTTTCAGTTTGTCTTGGAGAGTTTGAGCAGAAACCTGCACAGGCAGGAATATTCCCAGAAATTGCCTTTTTTTTTTTTACCCTAACAACCTAATTTCCAAGCAATCTGTGCTCAGGAAGAAGAAACATCTCCTGTAATTTTCCATGTCCAGGTGTTCTCCAGGCTGAGTGTTCAGCCCAGAGAAGAGAAAGCTCTGGAATGACCTTATTGTGCCCTTTCAGTACTTAAAGGGGGCCTGTAGGAGAGCTTGGGAGGGACCTGGGACAAGGGATGGAGGACAGGACACAAGGAATGGCTTCCCACTGCCAGAGGGCAGGGAGAGATGGGAGATTGGGAAAGAATTCTTGGCTGTGAGGGTGGTGAGGCCCTGGCACAGGTTGCCCAGAGAAGCTGTGGCTGCCCCATCCCTGAAAGTGTCTAAGCCCAGGTTGGATGGATCTTGGAGCAACCTGGAATAGTGGAAGGTGTCCCTGCCAGGGCAGGAGATTGGAACAAGATGATCTTTAAGGTTCCTTCCCACCCAAACCATTCCATGATTTTCCCTGGTTCCAAAGCTACACTGAACAACGTGTTGCAAAAGCTCCTTGCTCTGTAACGATGCTCCTGAAAAGACCCTCCTGAGAGCAAGGCTGGGGCTCAGGGCTGTTCATGGGATGCCATTCCCCAGCTCCAGGATTTACAAATCACCCTCAAAGAGGGACCTTGCTGGTTCTTTTTCAGGGATCTACCTGGTCATGGCAAAACCTCAGTGTAACCTCCCTTTCTACTGAGTGGGGTGTGCAAGACAGGATTGCAGACAGGACATGAGGCTCCCTGGTGGGGAGCATTTGTTGCTTAATGTCCCCTTTTCAGTAGTTTATCCAGGAAGACTCTTTGGGGTTCCTAAACATACAGGAATTTCTACACTACAAGGAAAGGGCATTTGTTTCATTCAGGCTGCCACCAGCCCTGGGGTTCAGGGAAGGCTCAAGTGGCAACTGAAAAGGGTATTTTATAGCTCCCAGTGAACCTTGCAGTGGCTTGTTATTTGTCAAACCCATGTCAGCTCAACATGGACTGATGAAATCCGCCCTGGAAAAACAAGTCATTGGTAGATCTGCTCCAGGGTAAGGATTTGTGTGTATTCACACTCATAAAAGAAAGGCTCTTGCAGTGGAGTCCTGATCAGGGCCCTCTCCTGAATCCACAGCCCCTTCCCAGCGGGGATGTGCTCTAACTTCTGTCTGGATTCTTCCAGTTTCTGGAAACCAAAGAATAGGCTCAGAGTGGCTTCAAGTCAGTTCAGACTGAGGGTTTGGTGGTGTGAAATTCCCTTTGCAAAACTGTTGCAGTGATTCAGATTCTGGCCTGTCAGACTAATGTAAATTTACTTTTACTGCTGGAGCTTGTCTACATTTCAATCACTTCACCGAGGAGCAAAGGCAGGTCAAGCAGGGCTGTTGTATGATAATGAGATTTACACTCACAGCAGCCTTTGTTTGGAGAGAGGTTTTAACAGTCCCAAGGCATCAGGCTGGAATGGCTCTCAGAGGGATTGTGGAAACCTTTACACTTGAACTAATTTGTTCTTCCCAGCATCTGCCTTTCACTTTAAAAAATAATAATAATAAAAAAAAAAGAAAAGACTGCTTCCTGGAAATTGGTTAGGCATTGTCTATTCATGGCACAACGATGGGAAAATGGAAAACACCTTCTGGAGCAAACAGATAAAATTAAACAGTAGTGTTTGAGCAAATAATGTGCCTGCAGTTTAATTACAGCTGAACAATGGTGCGGATCACTTGGTGTGGCAGCAGACACTTCACCCAGGGCTCTGTGTGTTTAAAATACTCTGTTTGCAAGTTCTTCAGGACACAGCCCAGTATGGGAGGGTGTGAATGTGCAAGACACAGCCTGGCATGGAGGGAAACTGCGGAGGGAATTAGGGAAGCAGCACTGGGCTCTCTTAGAGTTATGGAGCTTTCACTCCACCCTCCCATTCCCTTGTCTTGACTTCTCTTTTTATGCTTTTATCTTACTTCTCCAACTTCCTTCGGGTATCAGGGACTGAGGAGTTTTGATTTCTGACTTTCTTCTGACCCTCAGCTTATTTTGGTGACCCCAAAACAAGGGAGTCACCGATATTGCCAATAATGGCTGACACTGTCCAATCTCACGACCTCTCTGTTCCTTTCCCCCTGACTATTCCCCCTGGTGTCCCTGGGCCACAATCCCACACAAAGTAAATTAAACACAACCTGCCTGTTTGCTGCTCATCCCTCCCTGCAGCCCCAAGCTCACTGAATCCACTGTAAAATTGTCTGGGTCTCTCCTTTTTTTCTAGCAGTTCAACCTCTCCTTTTGACATTCCACCACAACTGACCTCTCCTTTTGACATTCCACCACAGCTGCTCTTGTCCCAGCTTTTACCAACCTTTTCCTGGACAAAGGCAGACCCAGAGCAGTCTGTTGTCCTCCTGATTGGTGTTCAGAGCAATCAGCCCTCATTTTCTTCCTAAAATTGTCTCCTACCTCATTCCCATGTCTCTTCCCTCCTGGCCATTCGAGGAATTCTGCCCCTTCCTCCCCATTTTTTGTGAGCTTGGAATGTGTTATCCTTCATTTCCTTTGCCTTTTTTTCTTTTTTTTTTGCTGTACCTTTTCTCTGGTTGCTCTTATCCACAGATTGTCCTGTTTAGTTAGATGAAACTGGGATCTGCTTTCCTACTCCCAGCCTGCCTTTGCCTGCCTACATTAATGTCTGGATTTGTTTTTCCTTTCATTTTTGATGGCTGGCTTTAAAATAACAC